AAACTAATATGGAGTAAGTAATTACAATTAATATATAAGCAATCTCTTATTATCCTTGTACAACCAAGCTAATGAAACTATCTTGTTTCTGATTGATCTTAACTTTTCCAATTTTAGTCTGTTTCTGAAAGACTTAACCACTTTCAATTTATTTCATTTTTAGCAAACTCTTTTTACTATATTATCCTTTTACCCCGAAATACTTTTATCTTTCCACTTACTCTATCCACCTTTTGTCTTACACTCCACATACGGAGTATTTACACTCACTCACTTGAACACTTGAACCACCTTTTTCAGTTTCTCTTACACCCCACCCTCCCATTTTCCTAATTGTGTATATAGTAAGTAATGAGATTAAACTGAAACAGAAGTAGTAAACCAGGAAACCACAACTTCCTTGCACCACACAAAGATATAGGCTGCAGCCTCCATTGTGGTCTCTATTGCAGCGTTACCCACAATGCTTTTGCATTGTTTCTTGCTTCACTTACTTTGTTCCTTCACAACTCAATCAGAAACCCACCTCACGTCTTGGGAAGTTGGGACCCATTGATGTGTTGACTTTCAGCCTAACAGTTCCTTCATTTTACATTTGGGTGCTCCCTAATCCGAGAGCTACAAACCTTCAAAGCTCTTTATTGTAAAACAGAGAGGTAATATATCTGGAAGTTCCACATTTGTCACATCTTACACGAATCACACCAGTCTGCCCCAAAGATCAGCAAGGTCTAAAAAACTGCTAAACATACTCTGCTACCCTACCCTATTCTCAAGTCCCTATAAGATCTCAAACCCAGGTTTCAGACCTGGAATTCAGAGGCAGCACCAATTATGCTGACCTTCTGACAACCAAGTGGCAAGGTTGCTGTGCAAGAAATATCATCTCAATGATTTTTAACAACAATTTAAAAGTGAACCTCACAATCAAAAGCAATAAGCATAATTGACTTACAAAGCGATCACAAGGTTTCCCATCCTTGAATAGAATAAATGTAGGCAAAGCCTCAATCTTGTACTTGTCAGCAATTTCTGGATATTTCTCCGTATCAATTTTAACCACCTGGATTTTGTCTTTCAAAGTGGTATTCACTTGTTCAAGAATAGGAACCATAAACTGACAAGGACCACACCTGTATCAGGGACCATCACATTAACTTCTAATGAAAACTTTTCTACATAGGAAAAGTAAAATGTTCCTGCACATAATGAAGTCCCAAAACAGATAAATTTAACGTAAATTATACCCAAGATTTCATTTGGTTGGAGAAACACGTCAACTACAAGTACATACTTACAAGAGCAGGATTTAGGAGTTGAAAGAACTATTAGAAGTGCTGTAATTTTACTGTGATTATCTTTTAAAACTGTTATGCTTTTAGTGCAAGAAATTTGAGGGGTGATTTCTCAAATTGGATAATTTTCTGATCACATAAAGCATTCGAACTAAGGGATTTTTGACTTTTAGATGATCAGAAGTACCACCCCCTCGCCCCCCCCCCCCCAAAAAAAAAAAAAAGAAAAAAGAAAAAAAAAGTCCAATAATAAAATGCAGATACATCTGAAGTCACAGTGGTTAAGAATTTTAGTTCTACTCAGTTAACAAGATACTGTTTATGAAAAATGCTTTAGTTGAAAATTTTGGTAGTAAAAGCATTCAGGCAAATACACCGTCATAAAAGTCCAAGCAGGCATTTTAAAACTTTTGTGTGGATCCAAGACTTATCAATTTGGAGCTATCAATTGTGTCAAAAAACATATCCTTTTATTGCTTTTGGAAGGGTATAAGACAATACATGAAGCAACAAGCAAGGCCAGCTATTGTCTTCAACCCTTACCAGATCATTTCTTCTTACTCAAAACGAGTAAAAGCGAGTTAGGCATAATAATAAAACCTTATAAAAAAAATATAGAAATCAATCACAATGATGAGTCAAATAAATTAACTTAAGTGAAGCAACTACCATGTAGCGTAGAAGTCAACTAAAACTGGTTTGTCAGAGTTGCTGAGCAACTCATCAATGGTAGTAAATGTCTGCTGCTTTGCTTGTACCTACAGATTTGAAGACCAGATTTCCTTAATAAATATAATGCGTATGCACATTTAAAAAATCAAAAGTGTTGCAATCAGTTTACAAAAATAAGAAACACGCCTATTAGAAAACACATAATAAAGTGCTTTACGATGGACTCCTCTCCTCTCCTAACTGCACAGCTAGTTTCCATGAATGATAAGGAGAGTGTTCATGATTCCAAAAAGTCATCAGCACTTACAAATAAAAATATTGGAGTGAATCTTAAAAGGAGGCGGTGAACAGGTCAACAGTACCAGCCACAATATAGAAAGTGAAAGACTTTCCATTCAGCAATGAACATTAGAGCAAATATTTCATATCTTTAATGGGGTTTAAAGCATGAATCTCACCCGAGCTGAAAACCATCTTTTATAATCCATAATAAATTCCCACATACAAAGTCCAGGACCATCACATTTGGCAGTTTAAATTTTATGGGCAGCTTTGACTAAAGACAGTCTTGTTGAATTTAAACACCAGCTAGGGAGGGATGGTGGACTCGAAAAGTAAGGCTTAGCAGGTGAATTTCCAAAGAAGTTCTTCTAAACATAACCTACCAGAGCAAAAAGGTATTTGACTCAGGTCCATTACAAAGGCAATAACCTAGCATGAACACAAATAAAAGGCGACATAAATAAATCAAACTTTAATAATCCTTAAGTTGCACATTTGCAGCTTTATACAAAAACAACAGAGATAGATCACTCTCTCTAACTTGTCGATTTATGTGAGTTTCTAATGGACTAAGTTTACGAAAAAAAGCTTCAACATTATAAAAACTAATTACGCAACAGAAACCCTCCCTCTCCTTGTAAATGGTGTTCAGTGGTTCACATCGGATCCTTGCAAACTTTCATTTTAACCTACTTCAAATAGATCATGGGGTTCAAAATTCAAAAACCTCTAAACCCAAGACACATGCTGACTATAAATCAGCCTCAACCATTATAACACCTTCTCTAAAGCATTTCCACAAAGAGCCTAACAGAACTGGAAACTAGATGGCAGATGATAATTTTTACTGTTGCATGAGAAAACTGATATCAAACTGCTAAATTTCAAATAATTGTGGCTTTGAGTCACCACCCTTGACAAACAAGTAAATTATACATCACTGCCAAGAGTGTCAACAAAAGGTGCACTTCATCTCCACCATACTTACAAAACCTGATGAATGAAGCATAAAAGCCTGATACTTTCGACACCATTCGAAGTCATAGACACGCAGGAACGTTCCAGGCCATTAGGAGCCTAGGAACAACAAACAAACAACACTATGGATTCGATAATTACATATTCCGTGACCTCAGTTGCTAAATATCAGAAATCCTAAATCATTTCTTTCCACAATAACAAATTAACACACAGAAGTTTATATATTCTGTTGAAACCCATTGTAGCCCACTTGTGAGTGTCCTACATTGGAGAAAGAAGAGAGATGGTTCCACTCTATAAGGTTGAGGAGTTACTCCTACTATTGTCAATTAGTTTTAGTATGGAAGTTCGGGTTGCCCGAGCCCATTTTATATTGTCTCGAAATTAACATATTCAGCATTAGAAACACTTTTCTTTCAAATAACAAACAACTTCCAACTCAACATTATTTCTCCCCAAAAAAACAAGAGGTATGAATATATTACCACCGTCCGAATATAGTTGTCACATTAATAGTTCAAATTATAATATCAAAGCGACTATTAATTCTATAAGGAGTAGTACAATACTAGTATTAATAAAAATTGGATATTCATTCATTCCCAGAAAAAATATTGACAAATATCAAACCCTAGAAATCCAAAACAGCATATCAATTCAAAATTAAACAGAAATTGCAATCAATCAGACCAAAAAAAAACACAAATTACAACCACCAGCAATTAAAATATTGCAATTATTACCAGAGGAAGAACTCTGGAAGGTTGATGAGAGAGAGAGCGAGAATTTCCAATACGAAGCTGACGACGAAGCTGCCATGGAAATTGTTGTTGCAGAGAAGACAAAGAAGAAGAAGAACACTTATTAGCAGTTCTTGTTGTAATTGAAGAGCAAATGAAATTGCAGGAATGGTCGGAGGTTAGGGATGAAATGGTGGTGGAAGGTAAGGAAATCGCCATTGCAGGAACAATCGAGGTTTTTTTTAGAGAGAGAAAGAAGAGAGAGAGAGAGAGTTGGGGAAACTCAGACGTTGAAGATGACGATGTATAAAAATGGGTAGTTGCTGTTGCTTAGAGGGAGTCTGCGAGGATGATTTTCTTACCTTTGTGAGTGACTGAATGAATGTGGCTCTGTTTATGTACAAGTGGACCAGACCTTTTTTAAAAAAAAATAAAAATTACTTCATACTCCATATAAGAGAAACACAAATTTTCATACTTAGTCAGGGTTTACTCGTCGGGAGGAACTCGCTTAGGGTTTACTCTTTATTATAACTCGATCATTACTGGTTTAATGGTGTGGACGTGTGTGGCTAATCACACCAAAAAAAGTATTTTAATTTTTTTTAACAAACCAAAAAGAGTTGTAAGAGAAAATGAATTATAAAAATTAAAAAATAGTAATACGAAGTACTAATGTACTATGTAAAAAGGTTTTGATTTTTTGAAGAAATTCAATATGTTCTCTTAAATATACAAATAGTGCAATGTTTTGATATTATCATCTTAAGGATGTATACATTTTCATAAAAAAAATAAACACAAAATCAAATAAATTAAACTATTTATATAATATTATCCGGAATAAATAAATAAATAAATAAATAAAATTCTAAAATTTCTGTTGAAAAAAAATATACAAAAAAATTGTTTGAATCAATTTAGAGTTATTTATAAGTTAATCTACATTTCGTCATTTCTAGACTTAATAAGAGAAAATAAATTGATCGTAACAACGACTAGTGTAAATGTGTAAGGAGTACACGCCATATCTTCTATCAACCCATTCATCAGTTACCAATTCTGAGAAAATGTCTCAGCTTCAACAATTTTAGAAAATTTTTCATCTTATAGGTATACAATCATTACAAGCTTTTACAACTGGATCTGATGAATGTAGCCACAAGGCCAAAAGGATGAAAAGGGATATCATAACACCTAATCACCTATATAAGAAACAAGATTGTGAGTCGATCTCTATGAATACACTACGTCTAAAATTGCATCCATCTCTTACACATAACAGCTTGCTACAAATGTAGAAGAAAAAAAGAGTGGTAAAAAATGTTACAAAGTTGATCACAGCTGCTGGTTGCAGCAACAGATTACCCATCACTAGCCCATATTAACGTGAAAATGATGATTGCAAAGGTGGAGATAGTAGTCACCAAAGGGAATAACCACATAATCTTACTGCTTACTCCCTGTCTTTCCTGAGTTCCTAACTCAACTTCATTCAGAAGTTTCTGCACCTCTTGTATGTCGGAATCTTTAGCAGCCTGGATTAGCTTACCTTGTATCTTTTCTAGCTTACTAAGTCTTTTCATTCTAGAGACGTTCTGAGATGACCATATAAAACCTGTCATTTTCCACAAGAGGATACCAACGTAGATAGCTACAACACAATCAACACTGTAGTGATGACGCTCCCTGACTTCTCTCTGAGCACTGTGCAGGACTAAAAGCCACACAAGGGCTGAACTAAAACCTCCATAAGCTTCCTGCATTAATTTCAATCATTCAAGAATGTTCATATCCAGGCATCCAGCAGTTATATTGTGTATATTAAACATGGTAAAGGTCGGAACAGGGATTGAGAAACAAAAGGAGACTAGAGCTATTCAGTAATTCTGAAGGTTGAACTTTAAAACTATTTTTATAAGCATCTAGGTGATGTATCAAAGAAAATTTGGTTACCCATGCTAAATGTCATGGTGCAAATAGCCCTCTCATTTTGTTGTTTTTCAGGTCTGTTAAATTAATTCACTTCCCAGGAAAAGAGTACCATAGAACTGTATATTCTATGGAGGAAAAAAAAACATAAAACTGTAAATTATAAGGGTACAGAAAGTGACCATCATACCGTCCAAGCCATGGCTGTCAGTACCGCAATTAGCATGTGGCCACTGTAGACTAGGTCATTGCAACCGCCTCCAGCCTTCTTCAGCAGAGGAAACCATGAAGAGCCCTCAGCAGGAGTTGGGCGCAGAAAATCGATAAGAAAGTTCATTGAACCCCAGTCAGGACGGTAGTCACCAAGTAATTTACCAGGATCAGCTACAAGACATTAAATTGGATTTAGACTGTCAGCAGCAACTTGGCGCAAAAGATAATGACAAGGTACATGCCAGCTGTAAATCAAAACGTTGAGAGAATTTTATTACACAAGCCATGTCTTCTAACTTCTTTTCTGAAATTAAACAATCACATACCAAGACTTTCACCAACATGGCAAGACCCAATGTCTCTTGAAAGCCAGTCATTATAACCTGATAATGGTCATGCTTCATTTCATGGGAGAGTGTACATCTGATGTTCCAATACCCTCTCCCCCTCATTTGTTTTGGCCGAGTATATACTTGATTAGTGTGATGGGTATAAATGGATGTCATAGGTACTAGATCAAGTTGAATAAATCTTGGCAAATTTATATAGATCAGTATATATTGCAACATTTACAATAAACAGCCAAGACAAAATGAATCAAAAACTTTATCATTTGCAGGAGCTTTTAATCTGCATAATTATAAGGGTTGACAGTAAATAATGCATAAGATACATAGGATTGCACGTAGAATTCAAGGTCACAAAATTTATCCAACTCAGATCACTTGGAAAAAAAGGATGTAAACTGTCAAAGCCATGTAGAAAAATGTTCCTTGATAAAAGAGGAGGAACAACATGAATTTTGACCAAGTAATTGCAAAATAGAAGAGCTGAGGAATAAATACGACAAAAGTAGACTCACCATAAGCATAATCCTTATTTAATAACTGACGAATAGCATTAGCATCCGAAGCATAAGGGACATAATACTTCTGTGCCCAACGATGAGGATGCCCTGGAACTTGAAAGCGAGCTGCAGCACACCAAGGCCGAGCTGATGGAAGAATTGTTGATGCAAAACTAAAGGTCCGCAAAAGACGGCCAACTGCCATTGTGAACACATACCTTGCTCCAAGCCCAAAGCCAGGGGCTTTTACAGAGTCAAACAGCACAGAGAAAGCAAGCATAATAAACAGCATCAAGAAGTGATGCAGCCCAACTATGTGTGCTCTCAGAATGTCAACCACAGTCTGGGGAAGCTTTTCATTCAGAGCGAGGAGTAGCCACTGGCCTGTGTCTGGAAGAGGAGGTGTATTTCTGTCATAAGTCAACCAAAAATAGTTTAATGAATTGTAGAATGTAGATACACAGGCATGGAGATGTGCATGCTAAGTTAACCCAGAAAGAGAATGTATGAAATAAACCACACAAAAGGAGCCATGCCATCCAATCAAAATCTACAAATAATTTCAGGTTGAATATTTTACCAGGATTGAAAAAAAAAGATGCATTTTCTACATCCAAAAACATGGGGAATGCTTGGTGAAGAGCTGATTGGACTTTCCTTTACGAATCATCCTCATCTGGCATCATTAGAAGGTACTATTTATTTTATTTTTTTTTTTTTTTTTTTTTTTTTTTTATGGTCATTTAGATAACTAATTTTCAACCCTAACATCATTGAATCTATAAGTTAACATGGGTTATAGTTTTACTCTATTTTTGTACTCTCTTTAGTGCAGTCATATATATTATATAGGACAATCTATTTTTTATGGCTTATAATTTTATCCATCTACAGTTGAGTTTTCCTAGCATTAATCAATTAACTAATACTATAATGTACTTTTGTCCATATGTTTCACTTTAGATACAAAAAGCAAACTGTTGACAAATTTACCAAACGCCCTGTAATTTGTCATACACAATCATTCTTTTGGAAATTTTAGCCTTTTTATACATGTTAATAATGCCAAGTCTTAGTTTCAAATAACCCCTTCTCTGTTCTCTCTCAAGAAAACCTATTTTCATAGTTGTAAATTTCTGACCCTCAGGATTACTGACAAAGACACCAATTCACCAACACGTACCACTAGCTTACAATCCCCGCCACCCCCCCCCCCCCAACATCTGCGCGCACACACACACACACACACAAAAGGAAAAGAAAACAGCTCTATAATTGATAGTATAAGTAGCAAAATTCTATCATTAACAAGCCACATGACAGCTGAAAAAAATTTTGGGTTTTCAAAATTCAAAGAGTGCAACTGCGATTAGAAATGGAGTAATGGTTTTGTTATCATAGTGATTTATCAGGAACAGCCTATCTTCAGGATTGGGCACTAACTCCAAACACTGATCAAGAAATCACAAGTACTCTGTAATAAACTGCAGAAGCATGTTGTGGAAACAAATGACAACTGAGAATAACCCTTGTGCAGACCAGCATGGTAAGGCAATGCATCTGAAGTGAACATCCCTTCCCCCTTCATTGGACAGCACATCTTTAAGAGACATTGAGGAAATTTGGAAATTCTTCTCGTAATAAATTTCAAAATTAAGAGGTGCCATAAGTTACAGAAAATCATTGATAATCAACACAACTAATCCAAGCCAATTCAAATTCTCCTCTTATCCTAGTCCTAGCCCATATTCTGGTAAAACTAGTTTCCATTGGATAACTTCATCACTTATTTCCAAACTGGCAACACAACCATCATTTTCATAGGCAAATTGATTATTTAGAGGCATTACTCCTACATTGCTTTCACTTCCAGAATTACCCTAAAACAATTACCCCATAATTTTATTGCAAAATGTGAATTAAAATGAGAGGATAAAGGGAGTGTGCACCGCATACTACCTTACTTTTCTTAATTTTTTTATTAATTTTTTTTTTTTTGTAGAAGTAGAGCAATCTTTTCTTAAATTTTTTTTTTCTAATCTGATTTGAGCCATCAAAAATGTCTCTTAACTACCAATCATGAAGGACTTGTGTAAGCTGAGAAGTAAGCACTTACAGACTTAGAGCTTGATACTAAAGCAAAAAGGAGTCAATAGTGTTAGCCTTTAAACCCTTTGATAGTTTTATCTTTATTCACAAACAATATATTCACTTGTTCCATGTCAAATCCAATACATTTTATATTCCCATTTTTCCAGCTGTCGTGAAACATTTTCATAACTTTAATATTTAAGAGAGAGAGAGACAGAGAGCAGATATTCTATCAATGTAGAGGTTAATGATGAGAGTTGCACTGCACATTTACTCAGCTTAACCCACGCGTTCAAACTCGAGCTCAACTTGAAAAATGGCAAGCTCAAAATGCTAAAGATTGACTCTAACTCAAAACCTCAAACCTCAAACCTCAATTTAGAGACAGAGAGCAGATATTCTATCAAAAATGGCAAGTAAATAAATGCTCTTTTTTTTTTTTTTGACGAAATATAAATGCTTATTTTACTTATAATAAAATCTGTTAAAATAATTTTGGGAATGTTCTAGTGATATACACAAAACCTTATAAGAGTGCATTAAAACAGTTTATAATACATTATAGCATAAAACACTAACTGAATTTCATACTTTGTATTAGTTTTTTTTGTATTAGTTTTCATAATTAGAGGATGAAAGAAATGGAGATTTTTGGGTCATTGTCTCATTGATATCTTATCTCATCAGAACCCTTGTATTAATGTTATTATTCTCATTTGCACACTCACCCAGCTACCACCGATCACACTCACATAAGGTGACAAGCACCCATAGACACAATGTCAAATCCAAAGGTCAATCAACAGAACAGCAGTTGCATAGCTACCATTCTACCAATCACCCAAACTTCTTATTCATATTCTATATTTTCTATTCTCCAATATCAAGTAAAATCTTGCCAATATAGGCGACTACCAGCCATGAAAAGCAACAACAAAAAAATTAAAAAATCGTTGTAGTAAAAATAGAGGAATGAGTGGAGAAAGCATGACATAATGCTTCAATTAAACTGCTTTCCTCCCTATCAACCTTCACAAAAGGACCAAGTTACAAGAGTTGAGTTGAACAAATCCTTAATTCCATATCATGCTCAAGATTGAAAGAAAATTCTGACTATGATCATATACATTTCACAGTTGTAGTGAATTCTGCTCCATCATAAATTGCTTGTAGACAATAATCTGAATTAATGCCAAAAATCACCAACTCGCCTTAATCATGTCCACATTCAGCATTCCTCAATTAGCTCCTCCAATCTAAAATATTTCTACTTTCCCTTCATAAAATCTCAATCATAAATAAGGAAAATTTCTCATAATGATAATATCTGCAGAATTCAAAGATTAAATGCCCCTATAATTAAGCCTAATTTTCCCATATCTAGCTCTATATCCAACATTTAATAACCTGTGATCTTTCCCAAATTAACAAACCTTCAATTAACTTAAGAACCCACCAAAAACACCTGAAAATATTACGCATAGCATTAATTAAACATTAATTACACCAATCAACGCGTAATTTTATCAAACCTTCCCTATATACTTAGCCTACCCTTCAAGTAAACCAAAATGGAAGAAAACCCAGTTCAGATCACACACAAAAACACTCACAAAATCCACAAAAAATCAAAAAAAACAAGCAAATTAACTAAAGAACTAAGCTCAATCTAGGAGAGAGAGAAAACAGAAGAATACCATACCGATGCCAATCAAGCCCAAGCACAGCCGTGACAGAACGAACAGATATAGCTTCATAAAGAAGAGCACAAAGAAGAAAAATGGCGGACCCCACAAACGGAAGAACAGCACGAAACTCGGCGGACCAATGCTTGTAAGAGAAGATTCGAGAAAGAGCGATAAGAGAGAGAATAGACCAAAGAGCTGGTTGAAGACGAGAATGCCATAAAGGGGAGATTTCTCGAAGATAATCAATGGTGATGTACGCCATTGCTGCTACTCCGAGGCCGCCGCCATTGAGCCTGATCGGCGGCGACCACCGCATGACGGCGGTGGGTGTTGCGGAGGAGAGAGAAAGTGGGGAGAAATTGAATGTTTTTAGTGAAAGTCTCAGCTCTCAGATGATCAGTTTGACCATGTTTTTACAAACGGTTTCCTAGAAATTGTTTAAATCAAAATTAATTCCCACTTTGGGTCGTTTTAAAAACAAATTTCCTAGATGGTGTCCAAGTAGGATCGGGTTTAACCTTGTTTTTTTTTTTTTTTTGTTCAGTGTAGAACCGCAACTGGTGTTGGCGGTTTGCATATATAACCGCAATTGATAGTAGCGGTTTTATATTTTACAACTGCAATTGTTGGTAACGGTTGTATTTGTAAAACCAACATCAGTATTAGCGTTTCTAACTGCAACTTTTTTTCACTTTATGACAGTCCCACCTCCTACTGCCCACTGATATTAATATATTCCAAACCTGATAAAGCTGTTAACCAATAAAAAAAATAAGATAAGGAATTGGGATTAATAAGACATAATGCCATTAGTAGCCAACTGAAAATGCAATACACCTTGACAAAAATTCTCAAAAGTAGACCAATTAAGAAATCAGATTTCGTACTAAAAAAAACATCAAATTTAACCATTCAAAATTCCAAATGATTTTCTTCAAAATAAATAAGGTTTCATAATTTTACATCAAACTATGAACCAAAGCAAAATTAACACATCAGGTACAATATAATGTTGCTTCTAGTTATCTAACAACTAAGAAGTACGCCTTTTCTTCGACTGATGTGCTGATGATCCTAACGCAGACTCATCCACCTTTGTAATGGACTCTAAAACAAAAGATGTCGATGTCCGAGGGCATCTCTGGTAGGTCAATGGTGGCAGGGGGGATAATCCTAACAGAGAACTACACTCAGTTATTTAAAGGTAATGAAGATGGGCTCGGAAAACTAAGTGGTGAGGAAGGAGGATGAAGAGTAGTAGTATAAGATCGAGGAGAAGCATGAGCATAATATTGAGAAGGAGGAGGAGTTAGAGATCGAGGAGGACAAGGAGGATGAGGAGTAAGAGATCGAGGAGGAGTGGGAGTAGGAGTAGGAGAAATTGGAGGTCGAGGGTAATTAGGGATGTGTCGTGATGGTCTAGGATCTAGGATACTTGACGAGGAGGTTGACTGAGTTGCAAGACCTAAATCATGGAGCATGTATGCTTTGTCAACTGCATATAAGGTCTCAGTGCAAGAATTTGCTAAGCTTTTTAAGGTATGCAATGCCAATTCTAGTGCTTTATCATCAGGCAGATCAGAAGTAGTCTCTATAGCACGAGTGCACTTCCTTGCCATTTCAGCTATCGCTTCAGACTAGAAAATATAAGTAGTTAGCTTATCCATTCTTATAATTTATGATTAAAAAAAAAAGCAGGACATATGATTTTTTTTAAAAAAAAAAGCAGGACAAATGATTTTAAAAAAAAAAAGCAGGACAGAGTAACTACATAAGTGTAAACCATACCAGAACAAATTCATTAGAGGCCGGTTGATATTGAGTTGAAGGACGCTCTAGGTTTGGCGGAGTGATAATGAGCCTTGAAATAGTCCGATACCATGATAAATAGGCATGTAGTGATGCTGATGATGTTTGACCCCTGGGCAAAGTGCCAGTTACAACTCTATCTTCCCGTTTATTCCATTCTTCTAAGTATTTAGCATGTATAACTCTTGTTCTTTACCCCTCTACGATCAATGCGGTGAAGTGATTCACTCGTGAAACACGGAAGAGGTATAGGCTGCTCATATCCAAACTGGCGCATCACTCAATTGGGTTGATGATACTCAACAATGTCAAAGCATATTAGTGGTGAGTAAGTTTGCCACACATGTCTATCACTTCGACATATATCCGGAAGTACCGAAAGAATGTCCTCTGTATAAGGTTGCTATGTCATCTGTTAAGAGGCGCATATAAATGACAAGTATATCAATAATGTGCTCTGTAATACAAATAAAAAAAATAAATAAATAGGAGCAACTTCCTATTCAAGGCCCAAGTTCAGAAAGAATTTATACTAAGTATCATAGTGTTATTATTAGTATACTTAAAATATATAATCAGATTGAGAAGTATGTAATATAAAAATATTACTCTAAAAAAATAATCCTACATGACAATACCCTATCCGAGTGAGCATTCTTGTAAATGATCCCATCCCTTCATTAGGAATTGTTCCCTTTGAGTTTGAAAGCATACCCGACAAAGAATCCACGGTAGGAAAAGAACCAATGTTGTCAACCATACTTTGTTGCTTGGGAACCAATTCAATGTACAATTGCATATTAGACATTGAATTCTTTCTCACAGCCACCCACATGTCTCTCAATGAGCTATCATCATACAACCGAACAATTGTATATGAGTTATGTATAGGGTACTTCACTTGCATCTTCAACTCTAGATTTTGTCTATCACACCCTAAAACTTCATATATTTTACTCAAAATCTCTGAGAAACTCATAACAGGACTAATGAATAAAAACCTATTCTCCCCGCCTAAATACGACACATCACCTCCTTTTTCCAAATAACAGAGTAGGGGGAAGTTTGAGAGCTCCATAGTTTTCTAAATTCAGAATTTTAGCATATATAAGTAACATAAGACCAACATTTCTAATAGATTAAAAAACAAAAATTCAAAATTTAATTTTGTAAACACCTACTTACTGCATGCATTAACCATAGGTAGAGATTAGAGAATCCAAAGTACTAGAACATAAAGACAAAAAAAATAATAAAAAAATAAACCACTACAATACACCTTCAATTAAACCCTAAACTGATAATTGTTCAAGTTCATGAATTTTTCAACTCGATTCCCAATAATTAACCATAATTTCGAATCTATTTATGAATAAAACAAAATATTCATGATGAATTATAAAATTATCAATGGAAATTATTAGGGCTAACCTGAGATATACGAATGACGATTGGGATGACGATAATCAGGTGGTGGCGCCACCCTACTGACGACGTTGAAGACTGTTGGCAATGACAATTGACGATTGATAGAATTATGGTTCAGACTATTGTCTTGCTTTGCTATTGTGAAAAAGGACTAAGTGAAGAAGATGATCGTGGGAAAATAGAATATAAAACAAGTAAAGAGGAATACAAAAGGTTAGGCATTAAAAAAAAGAGAAAAAAAACAAGTCAGCAATTTTATTAATAAACCGCCAATGGTGATTGCGGTTTTAATGATAAAACCGTTATTGCCACTAGCGGTTTTACATATTAAAAAATGCTTGAAAAAATTAGTGACCAGATCCTACGTGGACACCGTATAGGGAATTTGTTTTTAAAACGACCCAAAGTGAGAATTAATTTTAATTTAAACAATTTATAGGGAAATCGTAAAACGTACTGATTTTATTAATCTGTTTTTATTTTTTTTTTAAAATAATCCTTAAGATTCGATCCCATAATATAAGAATCCGATCCAAAATTTTCAGATATCAATTTTGTATATCCGATCCAAATATTCAAAAATTGGATATTTATATCTCAATTCCTAAATATGGACTCGTAAAAGACGGTGTAAAACTATCCGAAGATCCGATCCGATAATATAAGATATTCGATCCAAAATTTTCAGATATCATATATCAATTTTATATATCTGATCAAAATATCCAAAAATTGGATATTTATACCTCTTCTTTACAAACAAATCGGATTAAAAATTGAAAATTTTGGAATTTGGTATCTCGAAAATGGGGACTGTTGAATTTTGTTACCCGCTTAAAACTTCATTTTATTTTGGTACCCATCAAAGTTTAAAATTATAGCTTTTGGTATCTCTGTCCATGTTCCGTTAAGTTTTCCTTTAGTGAGGCCCAGCCATGCTCCTGCCACCTCCCAGCCACTCCTTCCTCCTCTTCAGCCAGGACACTGCTAGCCTCCCTCTCTGTACGGCCCGTCGGCGACCCAAAAACCATCCCTTCACCTCCAAAACGAACCACCGACTCCAACCAACACCACCTTTCACCAGAAAATCCACCAGCCAACACCTCCTTTCATGCAAACTGCACCAAGGCAGCCCCACCGCATTCGCCTCAACCACCACCCCAACAACAACACCCAGGCAGCCATAACCGACCACCATCAAGCAGCCCACGCACCAGCAGTTAATAACCATGGCAGCACCAGCATGCAATAACCCACAATCTACACCAAAACCACCACTACAAACGTCGAAGCCTCCACAACGAACCACCGCGTTCGCCTTGAACACGGCGCGCCACGAGCGCCCTTGAAGCCACCACTACCGTTGTTGTTGTTGTATAATTTGAGGAGAGAGAATGTAACCCTAAAACCTAAAAAAATTGATTTGGGGGAAAGGGGGAAAGGGTGGTGTCGGGGGCAACCAAGAGTAGGAAAGGGGAGGTTGGTCGGCAGGGGAAAGGGAAGGGTGAAGTCGCTGACTCCGGGGAACGTTTGGGCATCGGTAGCCGGCACAAGGTTGGGGAAAGGTGGCTGACGGGGAGGGGGGAAGGGTGCAAGTTTTTTTTTTTTTTTAAAAAAAAAAAGTTTTCTTTTTAAAAAAATAATAATAATTATTAATTAATTAGATAATGGGTCCTACTAACGGAAAACTTAACAGAAGTTGAACGGAGGTACCAAAAGCTATAATTTTAAACTTTAATGGGTACCAAAATAAGATTAAGTTTTTAAATGGGTACCAAAATTCAATAGCCCCCATTTTCGAGGTACCAAATTTGTTATATGCTGTTTTGGATATCGAATATTCGTGAAATTCAATATTCAAAACTTTTCGGATCAAATTCACATATCCGATATCCCAACTTCGAATATCGGATATCCGATCCGTGCTCACCCTACTACTGTATTAAGTAGGGTGCATGTCAATCGTTTTTCAATTATTGCATATTTGTTATCATATGAAATGTGTGCTAGTGCATTTGACGAATTTTTGCGATCGTTGTATATTATTTACTAGCACAAGTCAAGCTTAATGACTTTATATAAGCCCTTCTCGGAAGGTCACCGTGTTTGGTAGTATTTTCTCACTTTTATTTCCTTTTTAGTGTTGCTCTTTTTTATATAGGTTGGTGCTTAGATTTGGATCCTGATTCGTGGCGGGATAAATTATCTTCCCTTTATAAACTTTTAGAGATGAGAAAATATTAGGGGATTATGGACCAAAAAGGTTTAATATATTGGATCGTTTATGGAGTTTGTGCCTTCTCCGTCCTATGAGGTAAATCTTTCCTCTTTCTTGTCTTACGAATTATAGTTCATGCGAATACTAGTTTTCTCTCTAATTAGTTGTGTAAATATGTTTTTTTTATTTTAATTTTTATGCTTAGCTTAGTTATGTATTATTCTTGCCTAATTTCTTTTACAAAAAATGAAAAAAAAAATGAAAAAAATGCCCAAGGATGAGACTTAAATGATGAAGATTCTAAATAAAACTCATAAAAAGTCCAATTATCAATGCTAATCACATTAGGATTCAAAAGAACTTTCTAGAAGATTCTAAAAGACTATAATCAATCCTAATCGCATTTGGAATGATAAATCATAATAGGCCCTCCTCTTGATCATTGGGCCGCATATAAAGATCAAACCGGGCCCAGTTTAGTAATTTGGTCATAACTTCCTCATTATTCATCGGAATTGGGCTTATAATATATTGTTGGAAAACTCCATTCGAACTCGATCCAACTACACTATTATTGGACCCTAGTTTTGAACCAAACTAAACTGGATAGGCTATTTTCATAAAACAGGTTTTCAAAAACAGAAAGATTGAAGAGAAATTAAACTAACCGCAACACTAGACTTTCCACACTTTCACTTCATTCGATTATGATTTGACGTGAAAGGTATTAATCACCGGGTTTGGTTTTGGGGAGACACAAATGGGTGTCTACAGAAGCCCCCACTTTAACTGAGTTTGGAGAAACGCAAGTTTCGAAAACAAAAGCCAAAGTATCGATAGGGACGGAGAATGATTCAGAATGTTCTTCGATCTTAAATCATTCTTGTAACGCCGATACCTAAAAACTAGCGTTAGTTTAAAACAAATAAAAGAGTTAAGAAACGCGTATCTTGCACCGTCGAGCACACGTCTCTGAGGGTAACGGATTGTTGCATTTGTTGTTGTGACAACCTTCCACAAGCTAGGGAATGCCATCGAAGATAACTTCTATTGAAATAACTTCCAGTTGTTTGTGACAACCTTCCACAAGCTAGGGAATGCCGTTGATCAATATTGCTACATCTCGAGCCTTTTTCTTGAATCATAGTGACAACCTTCCCAATCATAGCAAAAGTCGTCGAAGACCGCCTCATCACAAACCGCTCTTCTCAAATCTTGGTGACAACCTCCACAATCTTAGCGAATGTCGTCGAAGATCGCCCATCTCGTGCTATCTTCTCAAATCTTAGTGACAACCTCCACAATCTTAGCGAATGTTGTCGAAGATAACTTCACTTGAAGTCATCCTCAGTTGTTGCAATAATATTCCAAGGAAACTACCAAAGACCAACGCTTGTTGATCCTTAATGCTACTTGAATTTTGTTGTTGTAGATACTTGCTGAAATTGCTTCTGTGCCAGTACGTCGGCGCTTTTGCTTTTTGTGAACCATTACGTCGGCGCCTGCGATGAGCCAACGCTTAGGCGCTTTAAGCTAAGTGAGAAGATCTTTTGTCAAGTCGATCACTTATAGCGATTGTAATCAAGCCGACTACCCAATCATGTCAAATTTCTTATAGGGGCTAACTGGCGTACCAAGGAACCCGAAAATTGTTGCACTAGGTCCGCATAATCTAATTTGGGAGCCACACATTGTGTTGCCGCACCAGCGCCCACTGGAACTATCTGGTGTCTCGCTTTCCTTCTGTTGCCTAGGCGACAGATGTTGTCGCCAGACGACAACCGTGTCGTCTGGCGCTGGAGTCGGGTTTTCCCTATTTTGCCCTTGCTGCTGCTGTTCGTTGCTCGGTTTTGCTTCGAACTTTGAACTTGGTCGTTTCCTTTCAACCAAATCCGCTTAAATCTTTTGTAAATTAAAGCTCTTCATCTCTAATTTACTTATCCATGTAATTTTGCTCAAACTCCTCTTATCTTGGAGGAATCTCATGTGGTCATATTCGCAATTTTTTGAAAAAATCCGAGAATATTCTTACTCGTTTGCTTTTTGGAATGTACCTGCACTTATATTTTGGACTATAGGACTTTGCTCATATTTCTTTAGGGTTGACCTAAGACTTAGTATTACTTGACTCGTTGAATTGACATGACTCAAGGTATGACGACTCACTTCATGTGATTCATGTGTGCGTAGACTTAACTCGATGCGATAACATGACATGAATCAATGGGTACATGACTCGTGTGTGCATTGTAATGTGATTGTGCGACTCAAAAATGCAAAAAAGAAAAAAATTTCCGTCATTTATGTGGAGGGTACCGACTTTCTCCCAAAAAAGAAGGACGCGAAAAAGAATCAAAGTGTTTGAGGGTGCATGTTGAATGAGCTTAGTCAAATGTCATTTGATACTATCTCTCAAGGTGCAAGGATTAATTCATCCTAGGCTATCTTTGATGAAAATATTTGGGTAACTTAGGCACGGAGGCTAAGCACTTCATACTTCGTTATGCAATGATGATTGATGATGATATGACAAGGCATGCTTCAGCGTTGTGTTAAGATTTCATGACAAAGGGTACCTAAGGGAAGGAGTATGTGGTCATGTATCTGTGATGTGTGTGAAAGTGATACTAAAGTTAGGGCGCAAGGCTAAGTGTGGGAAAATATATTGAAAAGAGTCAAATGGTGATGACTCTTAGGCTGGGTAAGCTAAGAAT